AAGAGCAACGCGGAACAATGCTTTCGATATACAGGGTGTCCTGAAATTGTGGTACTTCCGGGAAATGAGGAATTCCTGAGGTTATTTCAAGTAACTTTTTCCTCAGCGAAAATGTGATCCGCGGCTTCGTTCACGAGTTATTAACGAAAAACACTGACCAATCAGAGGCGAGAGCTCGGCTGGCGCGACGCGATGCAGCCAACCAGTGCACGAAGCCGAGTTCTGCTGATTGGCTCGGCTGACGCGTGCCAGCGCAGCCAACGAGCGCACGGCGCCCAGTTCCGCTCAGTGGCTCGGCCGTCTCGCGTCAACCGAGCTCGCCTCTTATTGGTCAATACTTATTCGTTAGTAACTCGTAAACAAAGCTGCGGATTGCATTTTCGCAAATGAAAAAGTTACTTCGAATGACCTCAGGAGCACATTTCCGGATTGCGAGACATTTCCCGGACACCCTGTATGTATGTACGTATGTATTATCGCAACGTTGGAGAGCGACGTTTCGCGTCGTTTACTCACGACGATTCCATCCCCCGTCTCGTTCCACTTCGCGAATGACAAATGAAATCCACCGAGAAATTTCGTGGTTTCGCTAAATATCGGACAGCGGACGTTCCGAAATCGTTTACCTCGAAGCCATTATTTTCCCTACCGTCGGCACACGTCAGTCATGAAAATCGACCTGTCTTCGTGAACGTGTACTCGTTGTAAGGAAAATGGCTAATAATAAATTGCGGAACTTCGTGTAATACTTCGCTTCTACAGGTGAGACTTACCGTGAATAATATGTATGTATATTGAATGGGACATTACCGTTATCTAAACAATTGCGAATCCTGCTATAATAAAATTATTCTTGTTTTGTAACAGCATCGTGCATATCTAATCTCGCCTAATTTGTAGCCGCTATAATACGTAACTATGTCGGACAATTAACCTCTTTTATGATTAACAGCGGTAGTTTTCCTTTTTTTTCTTGTAATGTTGTATTCGGTATTGTTACTTTTTCATCGAGTTTTTATTTGTTGCATTCGGTCAGGTATTTTTTCGGAAATGTTGATATATTTTCTTTTATCATAATAATTGAACAAGTTCAATTTTTAATGTTGTCACCATGCTTACGAATAAATCGTATTAATAATAGGTCCGATTAAGGCGTAAAAACTTCTGTTTGATGTTTTCTGAATGTTGTCGACTAATGTTTGATCTCATTGGAGTTTATTTGTTATGCTTTCAATTGTTCTTAATTGGAGTTCGTGTTGTATACTTTTATTTGTATTTTCGATATATTGATTAAATATATAGGGTGTCCCAGGTTTTAATGTTTAAACTTTGTTAGTGTATTCTATGGCACAAAGTAAGAAAAAAATGTTATGTAAACATAGGTCATATAGAGCTTTATTAAGAAGTTGTAACAAAAATTCAGAATAGGGATAGTAATAAACTTGCTGTTACTGCGAGCATTGACTTGAATAGATCAGCACATGCCGTGTGTTTATATAAGCTGTGTTTATTAATACATTTCGAAATGTATTAATAACCGTTGTTGAAAATACATGATTGACATCGATCGAAGATTTTTTTTTTAGTTGATTACTATTCCTATTCTGAATTTTTGTTATAACTTCTTAATAAAGCTCTATATGACCTATGTTTACATAACATTTTTTTCATACTTTGTGCCATAGAATATGCTGACAAAGTTTGAACATTAAAACCTGGGACACTCTGTATAAAAAAAAATATTATGTAATATTAAATTTAATATGTACTATTAAATTTGATTTAAATTTAATGTCTATTTTATTAAATTTACATTTAATGTCTCTTTTATTAAATTTAAATTTAATGCCTACTCGATATATTAATTATATTAAGTACATACAGTTACATGATCGCAGGGTTATTACACTAAACTCGGTTATATATTTTCTAGATATGTTAAATAAGTTTTAGTACATTCTCCGGATACTATGAACGAGATTCAACATTCAACATGCAATTTTTTGCAGGACCATTGTCTGTTACGACGAGTATATTCATCGCGCCTAAAAACATGCTGCATAAATTGCAATTTTTCATTTTAAAACTAAAATGTGTTCGTAAATGAATATTGATACAATATTTATATTGTACCAAGACGAAACAATAGCGAGTAAATAAATAAAAATATAAACAATTATTGATAATCATTCTTGGTCCGATTATATCCGACCACGTCTCTCAGACGTAATAATCATTTCTGGCCCGATTTTTTGACCACGTCTCTCAAACGTGATAATAATTTCTAGCTTGATTTTTCGACCACGTCTCTCAGACGTGATAATCATCTCTGGCACGACTTTTTGACCACGTCTCTCAGACGTGATAATCACTTCTGGCCCGATTATCCGATCACGTCTCTCAGACGTGATAATCACTTCTAGCCTGATTATGTGACCACGTCTCTCAGACGTGATAATCACTTCTAGCCTGATTATGTGACCACATCTCTCAGACGTGATAATCACTTCTAGCCTGATTATCCGATCACGTCTCTCTGACGTGGCTGTAGGGCAAAGGGTTAAGAAAATGAAATAGTAAGCACTCGAGGTTAAGGAACAAAAACACTAGGTTAACAATTAATTTCGTGTTAGATAGTCTAATCATGCAAACAAATACTAACTAAATCAGCGAATATAACCTACCATTCTGCACCATAACCAGCGTTGCTTTGCTCCAGCATGTGAAAACCGTACTATCAGCAGAGAACGATCAGCCAACAGAATAGAGAATGAGAGAGAGAGAGAGAGAGAGAGAGAGAGAGAAACGATACCAGAGGACGGGATCGAAGGTCCGCAGAAAATAATTCATCACACCGTAGATACCCATGATTTTTTGTATTGCAGAGGAAGCACACGTTTATTTACACAGTAGTAGTAGTAGTAGTAGTAGTAATATCTCAATAATAATTTGTTGGTTAAGGCGTCGTGTGACAATGTAGACGACAGATCTCCGATGTTCTTCTTCCGTTTCGATGGTTTTCTCGATCGCCGAACGTTCAGACCAATGAAGACACAACATACCGATCACAGAAGAAAAGGCTACCTCGACTATCGCGAATCAAAACACGCTTCTCCTGCAACCGTTTCTTTTGCTTTTTTCATTTTTCTCATTTTTTTTCCTTTTTCTTTAAATTCGATTCTCGCTTACAAATAAATAATGTTTATTCTCTTGCTCTCTCACGCGAAGCCAGAAGTTTTTGACTAGCGTCGAACAGAATCAGATTCCCTCGATCAACAAAAAGAAAATTATCGCGATTCCATGCTACGACGGGGCGGCGGCGGCGGCGGCTGCGGCCGAAGAAAAGATAAAGAGAGGACAAAAAGATAAGAGAAAAACCAAGGAAAGACTATATTTACGGATGCGTACACTGCGTGCTGAATGAAAGAGTAGAAAGGGGGATATGTACCCGCGAAAGAAGGAGCCAGAGAGGCCAAGGGAGAAGAGGCTGAACAAGAAGAAGAAGAAGAAGAAGAAGAGGTAGGAGATGACGATGAAGAATCAAGATGGCGGGAGCATGGAAAGAGAGAGAGAGAGAGAGAGAGAGAGAGAGAAAGAGAGACAGAGAAAAAAACGACCTACTTAGAAAGCGTGTCCAAATCGTTCCACGGCAACAACGACAGAAAAATGCATTCGAGGAAAGCTCACTACGGGCCGATCGTATTTCGTTGACGCTAGGTTCACGGCGGTCGAAATTTTTGCCAAGTTTTTTCATTCGCAATTGTTCGAACTTCGCGTAGAATTTATCCAACGAATTTGAAATAATATTACAATAATCGCGCGATATCATAGTTACTCGTGCAAGCGAATCCAGTATAAAGGGTGTCCCAAAAATGTCTCGCAATCCGAAAGTGGCGGGTTCCTCGGGTCATTTGAACCAACTTCTTCCTTTACAAAAATTTTCTCGGAGGCACCGTTAACGTGTTATTAACGAAAAACAGTGACCAATGAGAGATAGCGTACGGCTGACGCTCCGCCCTCGCGGCCGCTGCCGCTGCGTCGGACAGCCGGCGCGACGCGCATTGGCCGCAAGAGCGGCTCGGTCGCCTCGCGCCAGCTGAGCTCGCCTCTCACTTTTGTTAATAACTCGTTAACGGTGCCTCGGAGAAAATTTTTGTAAAGGAAGAAGCTGCTTCAAATGATCCGAGAAACCCGCCTTTTCCGGATTGCGAGACATTTTTGAGACACTCTGTAGAAATCCAGAGATTTCCTCGTTTCTCAAAAGCTGCGTTGCTTGAATTTTCATTGTTTGCCTAATTATTTGAGAAATTAATTAATGAAAAAATTGAGAAACGCGACATTTAACATTTCTGTTTGTCAATTCGTCCAATCGCTATTTTCACGCACATTTTTTCAACGGTAAACCAGTCCTTCGGACGTTTGAAAATCGTGTTGGGATCGTTGTATATTTAACCGTACGGCGCCGTACGCGTAGAACAGTTTGTTCTCGGTGAACCGTGAGCCTAGCGTTAAACGCGTTCGACCGGCAATCCCGGATCGTTCGTCCGCGGTTCACTCGGTTTCTACGACATCTCGCTGTCTGTTTACGAATGACTAGTTCTCCTCGCCCTCGTCGCGGCGCTTCCATCGAAACGTAAACAACGTGACGCGACGCGACCGTGTTCGCGTCTCCGCTTTGAGAAGCTCTGAACAACGCTGTTCCCTGTGTTTTCGTTTAATCGAACAGCCGCTCGATTAGGATATCGGTGGGAATCCGATCGATTTCCGGTTGTTTCTCGGACGGGGAGATTTATCTATTGATACACCGTATCCGTCAGTTCGATTGCTTTTCGTTTTGCTTAAGAGATCTCTTCAAATAGTGTTGAGATTCGATCGACCGTGCTTTGTCGGTGTTCGTCGTCACAACGGACCAATGAAACCAGTGAATAGGCGAATCGTGATTAACGGTCAAACGGAGTTAGAGGCCCCCAATGTTTCCACCACCTTCGTATTAGATTGCGTTGCGTTTGATATTCTTATTTTTTTATTTTTTTTTGCTTTTTTATTCGTTTGTGTTTGATTGCTTTTCAAAGCCCTTCTCGACCATTGTTAAAGTGGCGCGTATACTGATCGTCTGTTACCTGGCACCTGCAACGTCGCCGAAGTCACTGTCGAACCTAAGCTGTTCGTCGCGGTACACGCGTAAATGCCAGCGTCCTCTGCAAACATAAATTAGGCTCGCGTTAGCGCGACGCTGACCTGAGTTTGATCCTGGAAATATCGTTCATATTTGACAGTTGTTGGAGGCAATATTCACCACTGATTCTTGCGAGAATCGGATGGCTGAGCTAATCGAATTGCGAGAAATTCAAGAAATCCGAAATTTTTTTTGATTATTTCACACCGCGATTTTTTTACGCGCGCGCGCGCGCGCGCGTGTGTGTGTGTACAGTGGTGTGCATAATTATAGCCTTGAAAGTAGCTTTCACATTATTAATGATATCTAAACGAACACTCGACAAAATGTTATATTTGTACACATATATTTTCTATTGTTTCTAATATAGAGATTTATATAGAGAATATAGATATTATATTTACATGGATAATATATATACATATATAGAGATAGATATAGATAATATAGATTATTATAGATCTCTATAGAATATTTATATAGAGAATATAGAGATTCACATAAATATGCTGTTTTGTCAAGTTTTCGTTGCAATGCCTGCTTTTGTTCTTGTGTGACCTCGAAAGTCATTATATCGTATACGAATGAATTCATCTTGACACACACTTTAATACGATATAAAAGAACACATGGCATTTCATTTAAAAAACTGGAGGTCACCTTCATTTCTCGAAAACTAATACAAATATCCGAAATTGATGTACACTGTCTTACGGACCATAAAAAACTATAAAGCTTTTTCCTCTATAGCTTTTTTTTGTAATCGCAACAGTTCTTGAAAAAAAGTCGCTGGTAGCGTGGACACCTTGTATAAGATACGTACCGGGATAAGCTCGCACTATAGTCAGACGACAAACGCCGTTTCTATAGTGGATTTCGTAGCTCGAAGAATTCTCGACGATTCTACCGTCCTTGGACCATAAGATATTCGGCTGCGGTTCAGCTTGAACAATGCACTCGAATCTTGCCGTTTGTCCGCTGACCACTGCGATGTCCCTCAGCGGCTGCAATCAATATTTTTGCCATTTCGAAATCATTGAAATTCGTGCATCGAATATTTGTGCCTCGAATATTTTCTAATATCTTTTACTCTATTCCTTGTCAAATATATACAGGGTGTCCCAAAAATATCTCGCAATCCGAAAGTGGCGGGTTCCTTGGGTCATTTGAAACAACTTCTTCCTTTACAAAAATTTTCTCCGAGGCACCGTTAACGAGTTATTAACGAAAAATAATGACCAATGAACGGCGAGCTCAGCTGACGCGAGGCGACCGAGCCAATGAGCGGAACTGGGCTTCGTGCGTCGGTTGGCTGGGCCGCCTCGCGCCAGCCGAGCTCGCCTCTCATTGGTCACTGTTTCTCGTTAATAACTCGTTAACGGTGCCTCGGAAAAAATTTTTGTAAAGGAAAAAGTTGCTTCAAATGAACTCAGGAACCTCCCATTTCCGGATTGTGAGACATTTTCGGGACACCCTGTGTTACGCTTTTCAATGAAATCTGTGCTTTCAGAGATCCAATATTTTGAAAAAAGTGAATATTCGAGTTAAAGAATAAATAGGTGTAGCTCGAGTTGTCAATTTATTGGCGTAAAAGGTCTTGTTTTCTCTGTCAAAGTTTTGTCTTCGTTGAGAAACCGCAGTAACACCTACAATTACCCTAACGAATTTGAATTCCCTAATAATTCGACCAATTACCGTGCGATCGGAACACGACGCGAGGATATCTTACCGTGATGAAGAGGGGAGCCTTCTTCGGTAGTATTTCGAGATAAGGTTGAATCACTTCTTTGCTCGAGGCCACTCCATTTGTCGTCGGCCACGGCGATCCTAGAATAATCAGCTCGATTTAACTCGCGAGCCTCTTTCAGCGTGTGTTTCTACGTTTAACCTCGCGGAATAAATAACAAAGTTATCATCGCAACATTAGGCGGAACGTTTATTGCACATCGGAGGAACGTTCGAATAGAACGGTATTAATTGGAGACAGAAGCGAGCATAACCGTGGAGCAAACAGTGGTGGTAGTAGTGACAAATTCGTGAAGAACATCTGCAACGTTGCCGTCGAGCCAAAGTGGGAAAGTCGAAATTCAAAGCCGAGGAAACGAGGTTGCTGGTGAAAGAACTTAAGAGAAAAAGCAGGTTTTATTCCGTTGCAGTGATATGTAACGGAGGGCGCAGCTGTCATGTACACAATTTCGAGAGAAAAACGATGCTGAAGATTCGATTGAAGCTCCTCGTCGGGATAATTGCGACGAAACCGACTGCGTTAAAAATATTTTCCTCGCAGGAATTTTCAAGAGACGAAGTATTTTAATTTATTCTCTAGATTCTAGATCATCGGAAATAATATATTTCATTTTATAGTTTAGATCATCAAAAACAAATATTGTATTTTGTATTTTATATTGTCGAAATAAAATAATTTTGTAAAATAATGTTTTTGATCAACGAAGTAAATTATTTTATTTTCTGCTTTATATAATACGAAAATAAAAATATTCTATTTTACGTTTCAGTTTGTCAAAATAGATTATTTTATAATTTATCAAAATAAGATATTGTATATATTACAATTTAATTCCCCGTTTGAGATACTACTTATGTTAAATTGTAAAGAATCCGTTTATTTGAAATAGTTCTTGAAGCATTTCTGCCACAAATATCACTCTGTCTATAACAGAAACAAACCCAAGCAGAAGGAACGCCTCGCCAGCCGTGCAAGCAGCCATCAAAGGTGAGCACAAAGAGCAAAGGTGAAAGCCATCAGGTATTAAAGTTTGTGTGACAAGTGGCCGGAGGCGTAAGCTGCCGAAACTAGGTCAGAGTTGGGCAAAAATTTGAATCGGATGACGAGGACTTAACGAATTAAATATTATTTGACACTGTCGAATAACTAATAAAAAACTAATAAAAAATGATCTCACCAAGGGTTGATCCGAATAAAAATTCGTTCGAATAAGTATCGAAAATGATAAAATATATAAAGTGCCTTTTTCCCGTAATTTATTGGTTACTTTCTTCCCTGTTGGAAATTTAAATTGTAATGGATTTGAAATTATGATGAACTAGAAAATTATAAATTATAATGGACTATTAATAGAAATATAAATTGTACTACGTCAAACAAAACATTCCAACGAAATTGTGATTTACCCAACACTGTATACAGTTGGAATTCTTTTTGCATGTTGTACGTCTCTCCCGTAGATTTTGACTCGCCGATCTCAAAGACGACGGCAAGTTCGATCTACCGTTTCAGAATTTCGAAGAGGCAGTCGATTCAAGTGAAAAAAACGGCTAAACTTTACCTTGGGGGTTTCTATTTTGTTGACCTTACAGTGGACATACCAACGGATTTTATCGAGAAAAGTCCAAAAACCGAAGTCCCGAATTTAGGAATGTAATTAAAGTAAGTCCTGACCTCGTCGTTAAAAAGTTACGCGCGTCCAAATTTGACGAATTACCAGCGTCTTTTGACAGGTTAGCGCGCCACATCGATGCGTACTCGGTTCACGGACGTAGTTTAACTAGCGCCGCCGCTAGATAGCAGTACGCGCAACGTAGAATCACTGGATGGCAGTGCAGATACGCGGGAGCGTACCAAGCGTACGTTATACATAATTTGACGAAATTATATGACGAATTATATCTAAATTTTCGTTATACAGACTCGGACAAAAAAGTTAGAAAACCAGAGTCTTATATTTCGTTTTATCATCCTCCAAGCATGTAATAGCAAAATTGTAACAAAATAGTTCAGTCATTGTCCAGTATACCAGTCCCTCTACCGTCTAGAAACCAATTCGAATCGTTTATTCTATTCTTAAAGAAGTTACTGCGTTCTGAAAAGCGTCCAAATATCAATGGGAGTCCACTGTATGTCTTCGAGGGAATTGGACGAATGCCGAACTCTGAACTAGGACAAGCAAGGTCGAGGGCCGTTGCTGGGCAGCTCGGAAGCAGGCGAGTACCTGCGGAGTCGACGTTGCTGGGTGGTCCGGTGGTGCTACTGTATCTGGGGGAAAGGCTCGGTAAGCTTGGGCTCAAGGAAAGCGGACTGGGCGTCGTGTGGTCCCATCTGGACGGCGACGGCGAACAGGGTATCAGGAGGCTGGGTGCCGTCATCGCGGCACCGCCGTCGGTCTGCGTCTGCGACTGCCTCTTTCTCGCGTTCCGGACGTCCTCCGCCTCCGAGAACTCGCTCTCCGACGTCGGCTCCCATTTCACGGTCTTCGAGGCGCCGAACTTGCCGGCCGATTTGCCGGCCCGGCCCGACGAGCCCGTCGAGCCGCTCCTCTTCGCGAAACCGTTCTCCTTTCTCGCGGTGAACTCGTGGACGATCGGCACCTCGATGTCGCTGCCCCGTCTCTGACCTTGGATCGTTCTGTTCGCGCTGCTCACCGTCCTCTTCCCCTCGCCGGGCAACACGATCCCGAACTCGTACCCGAAGTCGTACTTGAAGTATATCAGCCCGGTGTCCGGATCGATTTGCTTCGTTCCTGCGTTCGTTATTAGTTAGGTTTCCGTGGTGGCTACGGGGGTCCGACGATTTTACCTTTCGCTTTTCACTTTTTTCTTACTTTTCTTTTTTTTACACTTTCCTTAACGCTCCGGGAACTCGTCGACATTTCTCGCGACTGATTAACGTGTCGGTTCGACGTTTTACACGGTTTATCGTGTGTGTGTGAAAGTAATACGTAACATATGCAGAAATACAGGGTATCCCAAAAATAACTCGTAATACAGAAATGGCGGGTTCCTTGGATCGTTTGAAGCAACTTCTTCCTTTACAAAAATTTTCTCCGAGGCACCGTTAACGAGTTATTAACGAAAAACAGTGACCAATAAGAATCGAGTACGGCTGACGCGAGGCGGCCAAGCCAACCACCGCACGAAGCCCAGTTCCGCTCATTGGCTCGGTCGCCTCGCGCCTGCCGAGCTCGCCTCTTATTGGTCACAGTTTTTCGTTAATAACTCGTTAACGGTGCCTCGGAGAA